GGGCCCCATCCGATTAACCGGGCCAAAAGCATTGCCGGTAACAAGGTGCAGCCATCGAACATGCCACACTGCGGCAATCTGGAGCTATTGCGCAACCACTTCGGGGCGAGAATGTCTGGCTGTCTGGTTGTCTGGTTGTCTACCTGTGGAAAACAGAGCAGGTCTTACACAAATTAACACATACGACACGCCCGCTCCAACCCCGTTCCGCCCCGCCCTGCCCCGCCCAGCTCTTCATGCGCCTCCCACTGTGGCGCTGCAAAAGGCGAAAAACCCAAGAAATGGGAAAACGAAACCAGAAGCCACTTTTTAGTGTTGTGCGCTCGTCGCAAGTCACTAAAAGGTACGAGTGTAATGTTTATGTTTTATACTCGGGTGTCATAATGTCATCCGTGGGTACGAGCGAGCGATCGAGTATGTTGCGACACCCGAGTAAACTGCCCACCGGTTACGTGTTCGATTGCAAGGCGGACGAAGCTAGGCTGCTGGATGTCAAAGTTGTTGGACTTTCGGACTGACGAAAGATTTGCATAGATTTTCCAGCTGAACCTTTGCCGGAATGACCAATGGCAGGAAGCTCTGCGTAGTTTGGCATACCCATCGGGACTTTGGCCCTTGAAACCTTGTCGAAGTTATGCCAGACAAGTTCGTATCGAGTATCAAGTACCAATAGCCAATAGTTATTACATTAATACCTTCGTTTTCGTTAAGGGCCTAACCTGATAAGACGCTACAACAGTTAAGCGTTTCAATACTTTTAAGGCCGTGTAATCGGTTTTACTAGCCGGAAACCTGTTGATACAAGAAAAAAAAATTGGAAAAACTTTATAACTCGCCTTCGTATTGATCATCTAACCATTTAGTTAGGGCATTCCGACTTTAGTGCCATTTTCGTAAGTTATAAACTTTAATTATTCAATAAAAGAGATCCATAAAAACTTTCGTAAAAATTTGCATCAAAAAAAATTGACATTTTATTTACAAATTGATTACGTTTTTTTTTTTAGAAACAATCAAATAATTTGGATCATTTAATTTTACATTTTTTACATTAGTCTTAAAGTTTTAAGTTTTAAAACACAAACATTTTCTCAGTTGACAACCCACTTTAAGCTTTTGAATGTTTGAAAGGACCTAAGAAGTACATTTAAATGACTTAAATGACTTAATTAATTAAAGGATTGAAAACATGTATTTCAAACAAACGAATCAACCAAAATCAATCGCTAGGGTTCTAAAAAGTATTGCATTTTATAATCAAATGATTTTGAAGAGGAGTATGTTGCAAACTGCAAACTAAACTTTCTAATTACTGATGTTTTCATTGGACTGCGAACTGGACTCTGGAGTGTCCAATAACTGCATCCAGTGTACTTTTGTGAGTCACTCCATCCGCAGCAGGGGATTCGAGTATGGAATGGCGCATACATTGGCCGGCTATCCCCTCGCCAGCAAAATTAACAACCGCCGACAGGCCATTTAAAGTCTTTCATTTCAATTGCTTACCAAAGTGCAGGCAGTACTTAAACACAGACTGGCGTGCAGAAGGTGCGGAAAGAGCTGGGCTATCAAGTCGGTTCCCGATATCGGAATAATAGCTGCAATTATCGAGTGGCACATGTACCAACGGCAATACGGCAATGCAGCAATGCAGCAATACGGCAATGCACTCCACTCGTCCATCACAATCTCTCTAATTAATTGGTGCTGTCATGCAAATGGTCATACCCCTCTCCGTGTTTTATTCAATTAGACCGAATGGTCGGATAAGTTGAGTGGGCAGAGATTGCCCGGGCAAACCCTGAACACCAAATAAAGCCCAATATCGGGTGCGTTAACAACAGCATAATCGGCACGAGGGTCGATAACGTGGGCCAGGCCAATATGAGTATTGTAGACTGGCGTGATACCGATTAGATTAGCGCAGGAGACCAAGTCCATCCAAGCACCTGAACGCCCGTGGCCCGTGGCCCGTGGCTGAGATTGTAAGTGGTCTATGGCAAAAGCCTTGAACAACACACTTCCGATTGTAAAGTGGTGGTCTTAATAAGAAGAAGGAGTGCAATAGGCCTTGACATATTCATTTTAAAATTCTACTCTGCCCGTTTTGGTGTATTTTATCAAAATTTATTTCTTCGATACAATGTTCTTTATGGTCTGCACATTTAACTCAAAGTTTATCACTCATACGTACTGTTACCTTTTATCAAAAAATGGCATGCATTAGTCATACGACATGAGTAATTTATAGGAAACCTTAGAGACCTTTGCGCAACCTTAAAATTAAATACATTTTCTTTACCACATTGAACGGTGAACCACTCTATTAAGCTAATTTAAAAGGTTGACAAATGTTTTTTGTCTACATTAATTTATTCATTTAATATTCACCCTGTACAACAATTCAGCTGGCGCCATCTGCCGACCTGCATGGTCCCTCCCATTATATTTTTAAATATCCAAAAAGTTACTTATTTCCTAATATTTTCGATACATAAATATAACTGGCTCTTACCATGTCTCATCGTCAGAGTGGGCGAGCTTATTATGGTTAACAGGTGGGACAGACAGTCGGACAAACAGTCGGACAAACTAAAATAATGTATTGGTGGTTCATTCTTTCAATTTTTAAATTCGATTTAGGCGAGAAAAACTACATTTCAATAATTTAACAATAATTAATAATAAGCAATGATTAAAAGAAATCCAAGTTAACTGAAGGGAATGGCCTCGCTCTTCGCTACTTATATGTTGCATCTGGTCGCTGCACAGTAGAACTGAAGTTGAATTTAATTTTGTACAAGTGCATAATATTAAATTTATACGAATACTACATTTTTGCACGCAAAATGTTTAAATAGACGACAACCAAATAAATATTATGATATCCTTTAAAATACTAATTTTACATATTAATTAGAGACTGAAGTAGTATGTAAATTATGTTGGAGTTTAATTTATTTTTTTTGTACAATATTACACCTGCTGCATTTCCAGCGAAGATGTGCAAAGTAAGGGACACTCAAAATAAAGTAAATACAAATCATTTTTGGCCCACTGTGCATGCGGTGGTCAACGGATCAATTGAAACCTGAACACAATGAAGGGGAAATGCATCCAGTGTGAAAGGAAAGCCAATCGTAAAACCAGTTTGAAATCCACCAGATGACCCACTACGACACATCGTATGTTCCGCGTACACCACACAGAGGCCACATGTCGATTTCAGCACTTTTCGAGAGAGTGTGCAAATGCATGCAAATAAATTAAGTTCAATATCAGCGGAATTTCGGTGGCCAAGACCGAGACCTTCCTCAACAGTGTTGTCGGGTCAGCATCTCTGTACAGTGTACAGTATACACTCGATATAAGGGGCAGCCCGAAACCAAACCCCAATGGACAGAACTCACCTCTTCTTGTTGGACATCTTGCCGTAGGCGATTATCCAGAGGGCCGCCGTCATGCCAGCCACGCCGACGATGGCGCTCTGGTTGTTGGCCAACTTGCTCAGAGCCGGTGCCATTGTTCCGCTTGCGATTTGCCAACGGACCTCGTTCGGATTGGGGAGTTGGGAATACGGAAATTCGGATATCCGCGTTCGCACTGCGAGTGGAATGGATTTTAATGGGTGGGAATGGGCGCAGGCAATCGCACCGCACGTGGGGCACAGCGAAAAAAATAAAAAAAAAAAAAAAAATAAGTAAATTGAAAGGGGTATTGCAAATATCACTATTGTTCAATGCGCGAATTTCCGTAATTTATATTGCTGTTCGATGACGACACACACGCACACACACACACACACACATACACGGCAGGATGTAAACACCTGGTTTTGATGAACAGCCCTGTCTTTGATTCGTCCTCTCTCGCTCGCTCGCTGCCACAGCCTGCCTGCTGCTTCCTCGTCTTGCGCTGGTGCTGCTACTGGGGCTGGTGCTCCTTTACTGGCCAAAGGGGGGCGAAGTGATTGTCACACACGGCGGACGCTTATATTTATTCAATTTTCGCCAAGCGCATTTCTTTGTTTGGTAATTACACTCTGCTCGGCTCAATCGAAGAAATCGGACGAAATGAACGGACGCGCAAAAGCCAGTAGGTGGAGCCAGTTGTAGATGTAGTGGTGGGGAAACATCGATACCAACATCAATGCCATCGATGTTTTTATAATATCGGTTATATCGATGTTTGGCAGAAATATCGATGTTTATCCGTCCATCTCTCTCTCTTTCCGTTAGTTCGACGTTTCGATGCCAAGGTCATCGATGTTTTTAAAATATCGGTGTAATCGATGTTTGACAGAGATATCGATCTTTATCCGTTTTTAAATTCTAAGAATGGAATTGAATATTATTAAATTTTAAGACCCTTTGTTGCCGTCAGCCCTGTTATAATGACTAGTTGTTCTATTGTAATTAGTAAAAAGAAAATAATGATAAAATGCATTCAAAGTAATTATTGCGGGCGATGATAAAAACGGTCACTTGCTCGGTGAAGCCGCAAATCGAAATTTAAAAGCTTATTTAAATTTAAAACACTGCTGGCTTCGAAGCCATAACGTTGACCAGGGCTTTTGATTCCGGCTCTATGATCGAGGACAGTACTGGAGTTCCGGGGCAACAGCGATGTTATGAAAATATATTAAATTTGTTCTCTATTATATTTAAAGTAAGTTGTATTAATATATGTCATATGCTTGAACTTGCACGCATTTTAAGCCAACAGTAAATATATATATATATAAGCCAACCATCCCAAAACCTACATTTCAAAATCAAATCATTGGCCAAACTAAACTAATTTAGCACTTTTCTGGTTTCCAATCCGTAGACAAAAGCCTAGACGTTTCCTATCCGATATCCGAGCTAATCAACATTTTGGGCTCGTCCCTGGGCACCAGGTAAGTTTGCCTTCTCATGAGTTTCTTATCTTATGAAGGACCACCGGCAGATCAAAGGGTGTGAAGTCTGCAGGGCCGAAATGAGTGGGCACATAAGAGGTCGTCAACAAAATGTGTGTACATATGTATTCTCTCAGAGTTCATAGCCAGCAAACCATTTAACAAGGGACCTTCGATGTGTCGGTCTATTACAAAATAACTAACGCTTAGTCGCAGGAGCCGTCCAGCCAGCCGTCGCGCCACCTCTCGTTCACCTTGTTGCAGTCGAAGAGCGGCTTGCCGAGTTTGTCGTTCACCCGGTTGTGAAACTTGCACAGCCACATGGCCAGCTCAGACTGTGAGTTCACATTGATGGGGTTGACATTGAGGCTGTAAGACACCAGGGAGTCACTTAGGGTCAGCACTTTGTGCTGGACGGAGGAACTTACTCGGTGCGGAAGTCCTTGGCGCAGAACTCGCAGGGATAGAGGCGGGACAGCACCTCGAAGAAGGTCTTCATGTCGCGCTTCTCGGTGTCCGTGGGATTGTCCGAGTAGAAGGCGGCCATGGTGTGGAGCAGGCCCCAGGTGGAGATGCCCAGCCGTGCCTTGTCCAGCGGGCAGTCATCGCGTGGCGGGGCATCCTCGGCGGCGTTCACAGTCAGCTTCTCGGCGGCGGTCATGTGTTTCACCTTGGCACTCTGCACGTTGGAGATCAGACGCTGCTGTTTCGACCACGACTTGAAGTCGTTGCAGGTGCGACAGTTGGAGTCCTGCTTGCCGGCGGTGGCGTTTCCGCTGGCAGCGCCCTTGCGGTTCGCCCCGAACGACGACTCCTGGTAATCCTTCTCAGAATCCTTCGGTTTCGCCTCGGCGGACATGGTGAAGTCCGGGTCGCGGATCAGCCGGAGCACGGTGCGCTGCAGGCGGCGGATGACCAGGCGGGTGGCCTCCCGACTGACTTCGAGTTGCGTGGGGCTGCTGGAGTAGTCGTAGCCGAAGTTGTGGCAGTGGCGCCGCAGTAGGAGCGTTGTGGCGGTGGGCAGCTCTTGAATCTTGAAACTTTGCTCGGCTATTGTGAAAATCATAAGAAGCATGCGCATGGTTGCCACCTTGTTTGAAAACGACAAGTTAGTTTAGTAACACCTTTGACTAGTTTGTTTGGCAGTTGACGAAGCAGAAATTGGGCGGGGTTGCGGCGAAATGGGGGCGTGGCCAGGACCTGGCCACAGGCAGCCGGGTTTTAATTCAAATTGTACCGGCCAGCAAGCAGTCTGGCAGCCCGGCATCAGCTGTAATTGGCATCAAGTTGTTGCGCGAAACGGTCTGGCAGCCCGACCGCAGCTGTTATCGATAACCAATCGCGGCAACCGCCAAAGTTCAAAAAAGCAAAGCGGTAAGCAGCCATCTACGGTGTTCCCCAAACACGACGGACAGAAACACTTACATGTGAAATCGATGGAAGCTGGCGATTGTGAGTGGGGCAGCCCCAGATAAATTTAGCGCCTTGAAACTGTTTAAAATAGAATAACACATATGCCAAGGCAATATTTATTGATTTTTCTAGTCCAAACTTTAAACGTACAAAAATACCATTTTAGAAGACTTTTCCGTACACTTCTAAATTCAAATGTTTTATATCTGATCTGTGAAATAATTCGCAATGGCTCTCAGTGATCTAAAGGCACAATCTCAGTTATTGTATATTAATACATTAAATTCACTTAGTAACAACAGTAACTACGGCTGGCACGTGAGTAGGACAAGTTAACAACTGGCCGCCGGGTTTGGGTTTGGGTTAGCTCTTCGCTGCCCTGCTTCGGACATCCTGGGATCGAGCAGCTCGCAGTGGTTAGACATACGACACATACATATGTATAAATATATATAAAACCGTTCTTAAAGCTGGTTATAAACGATGCAGCCGCTAATAATGGTTTTGATATTCTGTGCATTTGCCGCTGCACCGTGTACAACCAACTTTGGAAAGCACATAAATTAAGCGTGTAAACATTACAAAAGGTTAATATAAAATGTAAAATTGGCGCCGCTTGTTGTCCCTCTGGCATTGCGATTCCACTCAGGCGTAGTCCCTGAACATGGTGAACAGGCTGTAAAGGACGCGCAGGGTGGACTTGAGGTCCATGTTGACAATGTCCTCGGGCCGCGCCTTCGGCTTGGGCAGGCCCACGTCCTGCATCAGGTCAAAGGCGAATGCCACGTTGCTCACCATCTGGTCGACGTCCTGCGGCGTCAAATGGAACTCATGCAGCGGCACAAAGAAGCCCCCAAGCAGACCCATTAGCAGGCAAAGATAGACGCCGTCGCGAAAGTCCGTGTTCAGGTCGCTTATCTCGAAGTTCAGCTTGGCCAGGTGCTTGTTCACGAACGTGATCAGGGACTTCTTCACCACGGCCAGCTTGTCTGGCGCACAGTCGATCAGCGTGTCGAAGGCGTCCTTTTCGCAGCGCATACCCAGGTCATCGTACTCAGAAGTTATTTGCTCCTGGAACTTCTGGGCATTCAGCACTCCCGCATTCTTTTCCGCGATCACAACCGTCACAAACACATTTTCCGGCAGGCGAACGGGCGCCCGGAAGTGACGCACCAGTGCCACCAGCAGATGCAGGATGGCCACGATGTTCTTCGAGTGCACGCTGGCCACCGACCACTTTGGGATCTTCTGGTGAAAGCCGAGTGTCTGTGGGGATAAGGATAACAAAGATTTGTCAGAAATCACAAGAAAGCTTTTACAAAATGGCGAAATTCCCGTATACAATGTTATATTTTGTTTTGAATGTCTACGGTGCAAAAACAAGGACAATATAAGGACAGAAACAGACTAAGTCAAAATACTTGGAGGATTAACGTTTATGTTAATAAATTGCGTATCATGATGATGTATGCTTTTAAGATTGTCATCATTACACAATATTTCAAAAGATTTACGCGTAACACAGTTATATCTACAATGATTCAAAACAAGTGAAAAATATAGCGTTTAACACTCTATTGAATAGGTTTACGAATGAGAGAAGTGCCAAGATGGTACATAAACCAGAAGTAGTCTACTAGAATTGGTAATAGTAATTTTCTCAGAAAAACTAGCCAATTTCTTCATCCTTGCAGATGGTAAAATAATTGTGTCTAAAATGTTGGCTAGAAAACTTTACCAAATCCCAATGGAATTTGGAAGAACTTGTGGCCCGTACGATTTCCCCGGCAACAAGCGACACTCACGTGGTTAACGGCCTTCAGGACGATGTTGAGCTTCTCGTGCTGACCCTGCTCCGACTGAGTGACCTCCGGCACGTCCAGCTTCTTGCCCGTGAGCTTCTCCCAGAGCTTGTGCAGCACCTGGCCGTCGTACATGTCCTCCTCCAGATGCTGGACGATGATTCGCTGCTCGGCCAGCTCGTCGTTGATCCAGTCGACTAGGATGCGCTGCAGCTTGACCACCTCGGGATCGTTGATGGACTGCGGATCGATGACGGCGCGCTGTTCGTGTTCGCCTGCAAGGATCGGATGGGATAGGATGGGTTATTTTGCAATAAGATCGTGGAGATTGCCTTCCAGGAGGGATGCACTTACGCAGGGCGTAGTCCTCGGGCGGGATGTCATATTGACTGGGCGATCCAGGCGAGTCAATGGCGTACTTGCCCTCCTCCTGCACCTTCTTCACTGCAAATTACAAAATGTTGCATATTTAAAGAGACATGATCGGCAAGGTAAACAAAAACGATGACGACACAAGGCCATCACACGCACAGCGTTCCGCGTTTGTTTGTGTGCGTCATCAGTGACGCAATGCTCTGATTAATCAGCGCACATCCGCACATCTGTTCCCAGAAGAGCTTCGTAAACGCAATGGGAGGCGTATCCGGACCATCTTTGGCAACCATTCGAGGCTTTGGAGGTCCAAGAATAGAATCCAGAGGGATCCGTGCCACTCCACCTCCAAGCAGAGCCATTTTGGGGCGGTGCAAGGGACCCACCTACACCTACCTTCGCGGGTGCCGCGTTTGCGACCCAGGGTGCTGAACTTGTCCCAGAAACTGTCCTCCTTCTCGCCCTTTTTGATGGCGGTGGGCGTGTGCGGAGACTTGGGACGATTCAATGTGGACATTGCTACGTTTTGCGGACTCTGGATACCGGATTAACACTTTGTGTTATTGTTTCCTTTGGCGGAGCTGAGCAATCAGTTTCCCTTGGGGCTGCCACCTGATCGCAGACACAGCAGCGGCGTTGCCCAACACTGTAATTCGGACTCGCCTAACTTGGCCCAAATTATTCCCATGATATTCGGTATCTCTAGTTTTAGAACTTAAGCAAACGTTTTTAGCTTAATAAATATTCCGTTGATAGTTTAATTTTAGTTTAGTTTTAATTTGCAACTTTTTACATCTTAATTGAAATTTCAATATACAGCTGCGGTAAAATAAATAGTAGGTGGAGAAAAACATAGCTTTAAGGCAAAGAAAAACTTATCTTTTAATTTATCATTTATTTATATTTTATCAATCTATTTTAATAACCTTTAAAATGTTATGCCTTTAATAAATACGAATTTTTATATTTGCCCCATCCAGTTTAAAGTACTATCTTAAAGAAAATATAAAGTTTTACAAATTTGTTTAAAAGGTGTTTAAAAGACAATTACTTTCATACAATATATAACTGTATATGTATGTATATATATTTAATAATCATATGAACTATTGCTATGCCATATTTCAAGATTTCTTAAGGTTCAGATAACATATAGCAAAATCTAGGCTTCAGATATTGGGTTGAATTGCTCAGATTTTTTCAGTTCAAAAACATTTTTGTTTTCACATTGTGTTTGCATATACATACACCCTTAAGAATAAAATATATCAAACACATTTTGTCCATATCAGAGCAGACAGAATATACGGATAGGTTACATATGTATCGTATCGTATCATATCATACTGGGGCTTAGATGGTTCAGATGGAGTTGGGCAACTGGCACGCCCGCACCGCCACGAGCTGCAGCAGGACGAAGATCGGCGAGAAGACCTCCGAGTACTCGAGACCCGTCTTGCTGGAGAGCTTCAGGCAGAGCAGGTACTTGAAGATGGCAATCAGCACCAGGAAGTAGGTGCTCCACATGAAGCGGTGCAGGGCCTTGCGCTTGTTGTTCGAGTCCAGGTACATGCGGATGCCCACGATGACGCAGAAGTAGGCGTTGCAGATGTCGATGAAGAACAGGGGACTGAAGACGGTGAACCAGTCACCCATGGCCTCCGGCAGCATGCTGGATCCGCCGGGTCCGGCATTGGCCTGCAGATGCAGCTTGACGGCCAGCGTGATGGTGAACACCAGCAGGCCGCATAGGTTGACCAGGATCTCGAACTCGGTGAGCCCCAGCCAGCGCACCAGTTCCGAGAGTTTAAACATCTCCGCCTGCCTACTGCCTACTGCTTACTGCCTACTGCCTGGCCTTTGGCTTGCCCCGGAACTGGGCAAACTGGGCTTGGGCTTGGGATTGGGACTGCGACGGTTGCGGCACGACAATGTCGAAGAGGCTGCGGTTAAAGATTTTGATGTGCAGGGCCGAGTTGTTGCGCTGGCGGAAGATTACGTCCTCGGCATCGCACAGCGGATGCAGTTCGTCCACCAGCTGCACGGTGGAGGTGTTGATGGCGTAGCTAAGGGCGCCGTCCGAGTTGTGGACGAGGCGCAGGGCGAGATTGAGGCCGCGCGTGACCGAGAAGCCCATGCAGTGCAGGAAGATCTCCCGGGCGCCGGCGTTGAGCAGCTCCTCGCAGCGGCGCTGCTGGGCCTGACCAGGACACAAGGAACATAAGAAATTACCCAAGGGCTAGGAGACTACTGTTTACTTACCTTGAAGTCTGTCTTGCTGGTGATGTAGATGTTGTGAAGGTCGCTGGCGGGTCGCGCCGGCTGCTTGCGCACCACTCGGTGGTTGGGGCGGTGTCTGGCGGATCTCGGCTTGGTCCCGTGCTCGGGAGGATTGCTTTCCATCATCAACAGTGGAGGAGAAGGCGACTTGTGTTTTCCATCCGCGCGTGTCACAGTTTCGGACTCCGATTCCGTAGTGGTGGCCAACGGCACTAGCCAACACTGGCGTCGTGCCAATGGCGATCTGGCAACCCGGCCTTAGCTGTCACTCTGACAGCCAACGATAGTTTCAATCGGCCATCGCCATTCCTATCGCACTGGGCTCGTGAGATTCTCGCAGTTGAAAATTTTTCGTCGTACTCTCGGAACAACAAAGGTATGTTTTTCGCACCTTATCAAGTACACCAGACCGTAAGCCAAGGCACCGATCGATCGACTCGAGTGCCATCTAAAGCCCCCCAAAAAAAAAAAAAATCTGGGCCGTAAGCCGTAACTTCGCAATCCGCAACTCGTAACACACGCATACACTCACACGCACACACACATAGACACTAGCGCACTAACACTTCCGCTGGCCAATATTCCTCGGGCAGCAGGAAAAAAAAAAAGTACAAGTTACATAACTCGCTGGTGGTGCGGGGACGGGGCTGGTTGGTGGGCGGGGACTACTCCTTCGTCTGCATCCGTAAGTTGCCCCGATCCAGGCGGGGATCCGATCCAATCCCCCCCCTCCCCAGGGTTACATAAGTCTCCGCCCGCAAAAGAAAAGGGGGTGGACGCAAAAAAAAAAAAAAAAAAATCAAATAAAAAATAAACAGCCCTTGTACTATCCTTAACCACAATCGTAGAAAGAAAGACAAATCAAATCAAATCCCCTGCACTGCGCGTCCTGGTTCGAGTAACGTTTTGTATTCATGCGTTCAAGTCATTTTTCCATGCAGGCGAATCCGAAAATCCGATACGTTTCAGAGTCGCAATCAGTCAAGAGTTAAGCACTAAATCCAAGAAAAACAAGCAGGCGCACCTGCAATCTGTCACCTGCCACCTGCCACTTGCCACCTACCACTGATTCGAATCGATACGATCTGAACTGATCTAATCCCATCGACATCAAGCCAATCGAATCCAATCCAATCGAAAGCAAACGGAAGGAACCCGCCAGCACGGATGAAAACGTAACGTAGCCGCGACGTTGGAGCCACAACACCACTTCCACCGCAGCGGACATCGCAAACAAGTAAATTACCATTTCTCATTTTATCAAACAGAAATCTGCCAGCCAAGTACCAATCAAAGCTAAAGCTAAAGCAAAACCAATCAAATCAAATCGAATCAAATCAATGCATCCAAATCCAAGTCAAAGTCTAAGTATCCAATATCCAAATTGCATAAGAGTCGCGTATGCGCCGCGAGCGTTTCTTGTCGCCCACATCCACTTGGTTGGAGCTCCAGCTCCCAAACCCGGCCCCAAATCCGGTCATCCGCTCGAGGAGACAGCGCCAGCCAAGTCAAGTCAGCGCAAGAAATAACGCTAGATTCTCGATTCTCGATTCTGACAAGCGTCAAGCAAACAGAACCGAAACGATACGATACTATACGATACTATACGAAACGAACCGAAAAGCAGATACTCAAAAGAAAAGAAAAGAAAACAGAAAGAATACTGATATTGTGTATAGGTATTTCGTAAACGCGTCTCTGTCAACTGCTCGATTTAACGCGGCCCAGTTTCGAATTGCAGATCATCACTACATCCGACATGTCGGCGGCCCGTCTGCCCTACTATCAGCAGGATCAGGACGACCACCACCACCACCACCAGCAGCAGCAGCGGCGCGCCGGTCGTGGCCATCAGCGCGGCTACAACGAGCGAGCCTCCGGTGGAGGAGGAGGAGCTTCGTCTAGGCGGGAGCGCAGTCGCTACAGTCGCAGCCATTCCCGCTCTCGCAGTCGCTCCGGGGAGCGCTCAGGCCAGCGTCGCCGCCGGCAGCAGTCCCGCTACCACAGGGACCGCGACTCCAGAGACCGCTCCAGAGATCGCTCCAGAGACCGCTCCAGAGATTGCTCCAGAGATTGCTCCAGAGATCGGTCCAGGGATCGCGACCGAGAGCGGGATTACTCGCGACGCTCGAGCCACTACCGTCGGTCGGAGTCGCCGACCACTGGTCCGGGCCCGGGATCCAGTAGCAACAGTAACAACCAGCGAAGGGGCCACCAGCCACCATCCACTGGCAGATCGGAGATGAGCGCCGTACAGAAGGCAGCCGCAGCAGCTGCCGCTGCCGCAGAGCACGTCCAGATGGCCGGCAAGAGCAGCGCCGCCGTCGCCTCGGCCGTGGGCGCCTACTACAACCTGGACACAGACGAGCCATTCGACAAGGAGCGCATCCACCGCGAGATGGAACAGAAGCTGCGCGAAGCGCTGGCCAGGGAGGGCAAGGTGTACCCACCGCCTAAGCCGGAGCCGCCTTCACATCCCGTCTTCGCCAACGACGGCTCATTCATGGAGCTGTTCAAGAAGATGCAGGAGGATCAGAAGCAGCAGGTGGGCAGCCATCAGCTGCTGCAGCAGCCAGCGATCCTGGCCGCCGCCGGAGCAGAGGAGGTCCTGCATCAGCATCAGCAGCAACAGCAGCAGCAGCAGCAGCAGTTGACCCTGGCGGAGGCCAGCACATCGCCTGTGCTGCCGGCGATTGCGGTGGGGGCTGCCAGCAGTGCTGCCGCTCCGTACATAGCCGCTGCGGCGACAGGCAAGCTGGCGCCTCCACCTCCGCTCGTGGGACGACGACGTGGCGGAAAGGTCCTGAAGACCGGCGTGGTGGCCAAACTGAAGACGCCCAATGAGAGCGACGTGGACCCGAAGGATTTCTGGTCGCTGTATCTGGCCGAGGTCAACAAGTACAAGAGCAACGCCTGCGACACGGACAACGGCAAGCGGCCGCTGGTCAAGTAGTAGCGGCCACAGTCCTGCTCCTCATAGAAACATGAACTTGAACGCAGGCAGAAGGGCAAACGTGAACCCAGACTTGACTCGATTCGACCAGTTCCCCTCCCGCCCACTGCGATCCTCTCATCCCCCCCTCCCCCATGAAGATTTTGTACACGAGAATAAGCTATCACAGATCCGTAGTTTGTAGTTATAGTGGAGAGAGCTTTCGAGCTGCAAGCGCGAGCAGTGTACTTTGTATTTTTTTTTTTTTCACACGGGTCGAGGGCGGCTAGTCCCTCGATATACACATTATAAAATAATCATAGTCTAGATCGTAAGCCTTAATTTTAGAAGATCCATACGAGATGTATCTCTCTATATAATATGATATATATCGTTCATTAAGCAACCACAAACTTGAAGAACTAACCTTTGTGATTTATATATCTATCTCTTCCTCCCCGTTTATGCACTGAAATTTTGTATTCAACGTATCGTTTCCATCATTCTCATTCGGTTATGTATCTCAATCCATTACATCCATCTCTTTCGTTTTCATTCCGACTATATAACTCTCTCTCTCTCTCTCTTTCTCTCTCTGTCTTGGTTTACGATTTGGTTGCGTTTCGATCGATGATTTCCGTTTCCGTATCCGTTTCGGTTTCGGTTTCGTTTTCGTTTTTATTTCCCTTTCCCAACTAAAGTCTATATGCAATTTTTCATGTCCAAAAACAAAAGCAGCGAGAAATCGTCAGACAGCAGCAACATGTCCGCCTACAAGCTGGAGACCGCCCCGTTCGATCCACGGTTCCCTAACCAGAACGTGACCCGCTACTGCTACCAGTCGTACATCGACTTCCACCGCTGCCAGAAGAAGCGCGGCGAGGACTTTGCGCCCTGCAACTACTTCCAGAAGGTCTACAAGTCGATGTGCCCCAATGCCTGGGTGGAGAAGTGGGATGACCAGCGCGAGAGCGGCACATTCCCGGGCCGCATCTAGATCCGGCTACCCAACCACAAAACCCAAACTCTAACAAAAAAAAAAAACAACAACACAGGGCACGGTAGTGGAGCGTGGCAACCAGAATCCGGCAATTGCAACCATTTCGACATAGAGAACAGTTCATGTTTGTGCTTAACCCCGCGATGAATGCAGACCATCATCATCGATGAATGCAAATACAAATACACAAATGTTCAATTATCTGAATTCTGAATCGACCGTTTGTTTCTTCTTGCTCTTGTTGCTGGCCGAAAAGGAATGCGAATCAGATCCGCGCCACTGTATTCCAATGTGTTATTGATTAATAAAATATTAGACACAAAGACGTCAACGTTTCGTCATTGGGCTTGGAGATACCGATGATTCCACAACGAAACATTTCGAATTGTTTTAAATATGAGTCTTAGTATGAGCGCTTTAAGAGACTACTATCAGTATATATTCCTAAATTTTTTACTTAACTCATAACTCAAAACTATTTTTCTCCAATCGAATGGCAATGTATACAATAATCATTTCCTTTTTTTCTTAATACTTATTTATATTTATGAAAATTTTGAAAGCTGCCAAAAAGTATATATTTTTAGAACAATTTGTTTGTTTTGATTTTAGTAGGAATGTTTTTTTTTTTTTTTTGCCCTTGGCTAATAGAAACGCTTTCTAATTTATATGTTTTGTTAAGAATTAAGGTTTTTTAAATGGATATTTCTTTATTTTGATCTATACGTACTGCGATTCAAGAAAAACACATGTGTGGCCTGCATCGTTTATTTATTAATTTTTCTTTTTGGTTATTACAGATGTTTTTTATTAGTGTTATTCCAAGCCTTGATTTCACTCTGGCACCAGAAATTTAATGACTATAATCGTTTTCGTATTGCTAATGCATCCTTAGATTTTATTTATTTGGATTTAAATGTGCAACTCTTTTATGATTTTTACTACTTTAGTTTGCAGCTATTTAATCTTTTCATTATATTGAATTAAGGATTTCGAACCTTTGTCTTACAAAATGTCTGTTATTTGCCAAACTTAAGATTACAACATTACCCCACTATCCTCCGATTAGACATTGCTGATGAACAATAAAACGACGAGAGGAACAGAATTACCAACTTATAGGAAAAGATACTGAGTCAAACTGCATACAACTTTCCACATATTATTGGGTAATTTTTAAAAACCGAAATTTTTGAGATGTCAATACATACATAGGTTTAATTTTTTTTTCAATTTTCAAAAATGTTCCCAATAAGTTGCTTAGGTCGTTTCTACAGTTTGTTGGATAGTATAAAATCAACAATTGCGGACGGCAGCAATTCCTAAAAACTAAGCGCGAATCAACATAACAGGAAACTTGAGTTATACACATATTTTGTGATTTGGAAACCAACCGATTCGATATGGAAGTTTCTGCCTGGCAATGTCCAACCCTTCAAGGTTTGGAGAAATCTTTTTTTTTTGTATTTTACTTACTCTATTAATTTTTATTTCTAAATTATTATTATTTTTTTTAATAAGTGTCTAGCTAATGAGCCCAACCTATTTTGCGCAAAATAATTAGATCCCGTGAACTACAAAAATATTGGAAATCAAGTCTAACAAAAATGTCATGGTATGAAAAACTCTCATTACTTATAATACTTAATTTGGAAAGTTCAGATAGCATTTGGTGTGAAAGGGAATTAGAAAAGAAAATAACTATGGAAGACTGTAAAGACCCCTCAGAATGGTCATTCCTATTGATTCCACGATTTAAGTGCGCAAAAATTGCGTTTAGGCTCTTTAACTAGACAGTTAAAAACGTTGCATATCACTTAGATTGGTACATATGTCTCGGCTAGCATTAATCGCGTGAAATTTTTGGAATTAATTTGAGTTTGTACCGCTGTTTGCATGGATCTAATACCTTATAATATATATATATATATATATATATATATATACGTATATATTTTGAACGTGAATCTTACGGATAGTGCTAAGACGGTTGATCGAGCGGATCGTTTTGGGGTGTTAAATGCTGAATTTTGACTTGGTCGGACCTTATATTCCCTTCCTTCTGCAGCGATTGTGAGTTACATATATCGACATGTTGTGTGTAGTCAAATAAGTGGCTTAGCTTTGGCTCTTCGACTGGCTAACGCTAGGTCTAACTCTAAGTGGCTATGGCTCCAACTGTACACGCTTATAACTCGAACTCATCTGCCTACATATTTCCCTTCCTGTTTTTTTTATTGTACTTAATAGGTATTGTATTGTATTGTATTGTATTTTGCTGTCTTGGGGGAGTTTGGGAAACTGCAGTTTATAGAGTTTGCAACATACATAGTTCTTAGGCCTACGTACTTGATAGTTTAAATGCAACGAAATGCTGGCGCTGTGCCCATTTGCATCGCTGGTTTCCTCTTGGATCGTATAATTATTAATTATATAACACAGATATGAACTGATTAGTAATTGCGGTTGCCTGGCTATACTCGAAGTCGGAGAAGCGTTGCTAGTACTTGGTTAGGTTTAGTTTAGTTGCAGGAATACGATGGATACCCATTCCGTCGCATTCATCACTTAGAGTATTAGCCCAACTTATTGGCGGCCCTCTTATTACGCCGCACATACAAGTACAAGTAAATCGGTATGTAAGTATGTATCATAGTATACATGGGGAGTATTTCTATCTGTAGTATGGTAACATTCGAATAAGTGTGAAGAACGAAATCAACTTCCTGCCAACTCCTCTACGCAGTCGGATATCTTACATTCTAGCTGTGCACGATTCGAGTAACCTTAATCTAATACTTGTCCCGCTGATCTCCGCTTGGCGGCGAAGTAGTGCTCCAATGTGCGATAAACCAGCTCCAGATCCGCATATCCTCTGATATTTAAAGCTTCCGATGTCCATCTCCAGTGTCCTTCATCCAGTTTCCGGCACTTGGTGCCCCATCCACAAAGTCTACATGCAACCGTACTTGTTTGAGTCATCCTCATCCTCCTTTCTCCTTCTCCTCCTGTGCAGTGCTCTTTAGAGTCCTGCAATCCTGCTCGTTCCCACCCGATCGACCAGGTGCCTCCCCCGACCCGTGTCCCGTCCGCGCCCAAGTACCGCAGCCCGTAGCCCCCCTACGGGTATAGTTACATGTAGCTATTGCTTGTTTGTTATCCAATGTCACGGACGATCTCGATCTTGTCGCACAGCTCCGAGTCGGGGTCATGGATGGTGGTGAAGTGCGTCCGGTCGCTCCGGAATGTGTTCCGCTCGTTCGAGCTGCTCTTGATCGACCGCTCCGAGGGCGTCTCCGTGCCGCTCAACTGGATGCGCTTCTGCAGAGCCGACACAAAATTCTGCAACAAAAGATACAACATTATATTTAAGAAAAACAATTCGGTTTTATCTATGACTATATATTTGTAATGAACCCAATAAAGAGTACAATAAATGCTCCCAAAGTTGATAGTTGGTACAGTTGCTATGAAGACATTATCATTTTGGAAAGTAAGTATGCATATAAAATGGAATGGGTAAGTTACATTCACCACGGAAACGGACAATTTTTAAATTATACAAATATACATTCATATAAGCTCTTAAATTCAGGGGATAATTTAAGTTTTCTTAACTTTTGAAGTTTTTCTTTAAGTTCTAGGGGTGTGGAAAGGGTCTTAAAGGATCTTAAATTTAACACTAGTTACATTCACCGCCTCACAACGTGTTAATAATGGTTTGAACCCATTAAACCCCAAATAAACCTTAAGGACCTACATTTTATAAGTGTTAAACACGAATTGCTATTCATTTTAAATTGTGTTTAATGCAGTCTAGATGGAAAGTTTGCTTGTAGCACATTCCTTTGATTTTTTATACTAAACACGGTCGAAATCAGACGGCAACAGTGCGTATGCGTGACATAATTTGAATACAAAGCGCAGATGGTAGGTCTAAAATGTACCTACCCAATGTTTACGCACAATATTAAAGTGTCATACCAATCGGACTTGGGTTCTAACACTCACCTAAACTAGTTTAAAAAGTAGTTTGATTGCTCTGGTTAAATCATAAAAATTAAAATACAACGAATTTATACTGAACATTTTGTAAGTCGGCGTAAAATCTAAGCTCGAGCCAAGCCAGAAAAACACAAAAATGGGCATAAACCAGTTTCAATGAGTAGTTTCAGAATCTGAATTGAAAATGGCACCAACACTCCATGATCCCAAAACTGTTTCTCGCAATGCTGAAGTCCACGTCCACTCACCTGCGATATGATGTCGCCGCGGGCCGTGCGCACCTGGTAAAGGTAGCGGAACTTGCGCTGTCTGGCCTCCTCGCGCGTCTCGCGGGTGCGGGACTGGGACCGCCGCACGGGGGCGAGGGCGTGGCCGGGCCCCGCCTGCTGCTGGCTATGTGG